ACATACGTAGGAAATACCTACGTAAGAAACAAATTTAATTTTTACAAATAATTTTTAAATAAATAAATAAATAAAAGTGGTCAAATATGATGTAAAAATCACGTGATGTGAAACGTGATGTGATTGGTCTGACGTCATTGTGCATATTATTAGTGCGTTATTTGAATGCATGATAAACGACGAATGATAAATTATTGAAAAAAATTTCAAGTTGGTTTTTATTTATAGTGAGTTTAGTTATATTTTATCATTAAGACTAAAATTTACTGAAAATAGCATAAATATTTTTCTTTGAAAAGAATAATTAGCATAGATATTATGATCATACTCTATATTACCATAAATGCTGAGTGGTACTAGTGGTACATGTGAACGGGGTGATAGTGACTGACAATAAATAATTAAAAAGAAATAAAAATCCCTCGAAGAAAAGTCGATCCCGGTTTCAGTGAAGCTCGATCCGATAATCTACCTGGTGTTGATGCTTTTATGGTCGCATCTTACTTAGCTACTAACTCTAATTTTGTATCTGCAGATATGCAAGACGCAAAAGCTAACCTGTGAGTATAAATTTTCATGATACGTAATTTCATTATTGTTTAATAATGTTTGGATTTTTTGATAAATCGAAATTTTCAAAATAAATTATATATATAAAAATTAACCAGTCATTTCTTTGCTTTTTCAAAGTGAAATTCTCATATTGAAAAAAATAAAAAAAAATTTTAATATAGGTTAGTTTTCAATCTACAACAAGTGTTCAAATATTATAGTTGAAATATTAGACTAATAATACAATAAATATATTCAAATATAGATCTGGAAGACAGTCGTATGGAGATGCTGCTATCGAATTTGTTCAACTAAAACTTCATGGACCAGAATGTACTCTCAAATGTCTTATTTGTCCTGAGCACAGAGTATACAATAAATCATATCGAGTGACTCTTGTTTTAAATATTGTTGAGGAAGAGATTTTATCGATTCAATGTCATGATTGTGCCGCATCGTCAGGCAAGTGCAATAGTGTAAAAATATTTTAGCTAAAACTTTTACTGTTATTCTTAGCTCTATTATTTATAGTTACTGTTTGATACGAGAAACAAAAAAAATTGATTAAAAATAAAATACCTACCAATACATTCCCTTTGTCTTTTCTAGGTGGATGCAAGCACGCGATTGCTTTTATAATGTGGCTTCACAGAAGATCTGAAGAACCATCACCGACGGATATTGAATGTTATTGGCGAAAATCAGTTCTATCTCAAGTTGGATCATCAATAAAATTCATTATGGTAAAAGATTTTGCCAGTACTAAAGAATCGATTGCTTTGAATAAACCTTTTAATGCATTAGAAGAATTTGTAAAAAGAACAAATCAAAAAACTGTACACAGTCAAATTTTAAAATACTTCAATGATGTAAATAACGAGCAAAGTCTTTCGATTCATAATTTATTAGTAAATTTTATTAACGAAGGAGGAACATCTTATGATGAATTTGTAACATTCAGCAAAAGTCGAATGTCAAAAGATTTGTGTGAGCGAATTGAAAAAATGACTCAAGATCAAGCAAACTGTGAGCTCTGGTTTACATTGCGCTACGGACGAGTTACTGCATCAAAGGCATATGAAGCATCACGTTGTAATACTCCGAATGGAATTTTAGTGGAGTTGTTGGTCGGTGGTAGAAAATTGCGGAATAAAAAAGCTATGGAACGAGGCAAAAAATTAGAAGCAATGGTTTTACAACAAGTTGAACAGAAGATGAAAAAAAAGTTTAATAAATGCGGTTTATTTTTATCTGAAAAATATCCTTATCTAGGAGCTTCGCCTGATGCTATTGACGACGAATTTGTTATTGAAATTAAATGCCCAACGTCAGACAAAAGTGCTCGTACATATATTGATACTAATAATTACGATAAAGTAGCAATAAAGTACATAACGCAAATGCAAATGCAAATGCTTTTTGCCGGAAGAAAAAAAGCGATGTTTTTTGTTGCAGACCCGAACTTCGAAGATACAAAAGCATTTAAATCTATTATTATTATTAATTACGACTCACAATTAATTAATAAATTATTGGAAGATTTGAGTAAATTTTGGGAGAAATGTATTTTTAAACGATTATTTAATTCTTTATACAAAACAGAGCAATAAAATAATTAAGATCAAAAACGTATTATTTTAAGACACTTGTGTGTTTTGAATGTTTATAGATAAATACATAAGCTTATTTACTGTGAATAACAAAATTTTGTAAAATAATTAATATTATATTTTTAATTAATCTCTAATGTGACTTATGTTTTTTTTATCAGTGGTCCTTGTAAATTTGTTAAAGCAGCGACGATCGTGATAATATTATCCATTTGCGGAATCAATTTAACATTAACACATGAATGAGGTTCACAAATATGAAATTCTCTGATTCTTCTTATTAACCTTTCAATGTGAATTCGAAGGCTAGCGATTCGTTTCGTCGCAATGACTTCATCATGAGTTGGTTGCTTATTAGAGCTTACTGTAGGAGGTCTAATCAATGTACATTTTTTCGCAACTACTAAATTTTCAATATGTTTGAAACCTCTATCTGCTAATACAGCTGCGGCTGGCTTTAAATAATTCAAGTATCCAGAGTTTGAAACTATTTCTGCATCAGATGCTCTACCACCATAACCTGGTGATATGAAATTAACTATACCATCTGGAGTACAAGATACTAAATATTTCACAGTATTACATTTTTTGTATTCTGACCATGTCAATGATTGTTTAACTGGGTCCGTTGGCTTTTCAATTTCAATTTTTAAACAATCAATGATCGATTTAACTGCGGCATAACGACTCCTGAAACTTATTGGCAATTGTTGTTTAATTTTTGCAGATGAAGGCCAAATAATGAAGTCTTTTAAATACTCAATTATGATTGGCAAGGTCTTAGTAAATGTACGACTTACATTAGAAGTAGACATCCTAAAATCATCCGCTAAAATAGCAAAACTTTCATTTAGTCTTATTTTTTTTTAACGTGAGAAAGATTTCAACGTCACTTAATTTCGCAGTCCGTAAAATATCGATAATATCTATACAGTCGTTTGGAATACCGATATATTTACGAGGTGATTGTTGAATTTTTTGAAAAGTTTGTTTTAAATTTAATTTTTGGAATTCTTCTTGTTGATATTGGCTTTTCCACTCATTTTCAGTACTTGGATTTGTTGACAAAAGGTTATCTGAAGAAGTTGGGAATGAACTTACTGTTGTATTTGATGTGTTCATTACTTGATTATTACTAATTGATGAAGAACATGAGTCATCTAAATTTTTTACTCCAGAGAATATTTTAATGGGAGAAGTTGCACGGTCTTTTGTTTGAGGTTTACACTGAATTTGTGTACTCCTATACAAACTTCTTATCTTGACTTGAACTGCAGCATTAACTTTTATAGTTTGAGGAGGAAAATTATCATAAAAAACATTAGATGCACTGGCTTTAAAACCTTGAGATGCAGTGGAATTTGCAGTATCCAAATATTTCAGATCCATATTATCGATATTATTGCTTGAATTTCGACCTATCATTTTATCTTAAAAATTAAAGTTGGATTTCTCAGAACTTTGTTGATCTACTTCCATTGGAGAAACTTCTACACTTGTCAGTTTTGATTCTTCAATGTATTTATGTGGCAAAATATTACTTTTCATCCGTTTGTTACCACCAATCATTTTCCACTCTAAATAATTTTCCATATCTGTTTTTAACTAAAATAAAAATAATTAATTACTCATTTACAGTCAAAATATTTTAAAAATTTGAGGTTATAAGTTGATTATAAACAAATTATTTTTATTTTTATTATTACTTACATCAAAATGATCCTCACAACAATAAAGTCGACTTGATAAAGAATAATCACTTTTATTCTCGCACGCATCCAACCACACTTTTCGTTTTAATTTATTTGATGGAAAATTTATAAAAATTTTATTTGGATTAGATTTACCGGTATTTTTACATGTTGGTACAATACACCAACAACCACTGTTTTTTAATGACATTTTAAAAAGTTATAAAGTTTATGTTTTGCCTTGAAATAATTTAAACAGTTGTTTTTTTTTTTAATAACAATCACAACAGCTGATCAGGCGTGTTTATAAAAACATTCTGTGAGTGGATTGGCGCGAACAAATTTGAATGGAATATGCACAATGACGTCACATACGCAAGAGGGAGCTACCTATTCGTTTAAAATTTAACAATTTTTTTATTGTTAAATAGTTTAAATGTTTATAAATAAAAAAAAAAATTTTTTTCAATAATTTTAAAAAATTTTTTAAAATAATAAGACATAACTATTTAATGGATTAGAAAATCATGCAAATACCCAATTGTCCCTGAAGAACAGAAGTGACGCAAATCATCATATTTAGCTTTTGAAATCGATATTTTAGTATCATACAGATTATCCAAAACAATATTTTTTTTGAATGACGATCTCAAAATAATGGTTTTAAAAGAGTCCCAATACTCTTTTTTAATTAACAAACATCGAAAATAAAATTCACAAAGATGAGGATAAAATAAAAATAAAAAATTTAATAATATACACTAAATACCATACCGGTCGTTTTTTCAAGTAATTTTGAACCATTTGGCCGATTTCCAGGAGACTAGTACCGTCGGTACACCGTAGATTGGAAGGAAAAAACTGAAAATATATTATCAAATTACAAAAAATTGCATTGAAATACACGGCACAAAAATTGTCTGAAACTTTGTACTTTATTTTTAACTTCTTTATAATTAATAAATTTGTCAAACTGCATTTCGTGAACATTATATTGTTTACCGGTTTTTTTGGCCTGTCTGATAATTCTCACTCAATCACAAGGCGCATATATGGATGTGTTTCGTGCTGCACGTTCTATTACAGAGTGCATTGTATCACACTCCATGTATGTATGCCCAGACTTGAGAAATTTCAAATTGATCTCTTAAAGGGTTGGATGTTCATGAAAGGAGATACCTAACATCGCTACCACTATTGAATTTTTATTGTGACCTTAAAAATGATAAAAAATTAAAAGTAATTAGTGACACGTAATGGTAACAAGTACTGGGATAAATACAATAGTTAGATTTTTATAAAATCTACTAAAGAAAAAATCATGTATTTATTGATGGAAATCACTAATCAAATTTTTTATTTAATTACCTGCACAGTTGTCGACGAAAAAATTCAAAGTCTCTATTCCACTTGGAACCTCTTCATTGATAAATTTGTCTAGACAAGTAGAGATTCCTTGAGACCCTTTTCTCCCTTCAGATTCAGACCAAATGTAGCAATATCCTTGAAAATACAATGAATAATTTTCCATTATTAAAATATACACAGAAAAAAAAAGTTTCCTATTAAAGAAAATTTTTATGATTCTCGATTTTACTTTTAAATATTTTTAAGAATTGTTTTTCTTATTTGAAGAACTTCTTTTTGCCAAGTAAAATAATTAATAATAATAAAATATAAACCTTAGTTAACGTACCGTCATTTGTACCTAAATTGAAAACAGTGAAGTTGTGAGTGGCTAATTTTCGGCGATAAAATAACTCCTTAGATTTAAAAAATAGAGATAGTCCAGTAAAGAAAAGTTTTCAATCGACATTTTTTTCCGGAATTTAAATTTTCGATCATATTTTCAGTTTTTTATGTAAAATAAGAATATAGAGTCAAAAAATCGAAAGTTAGCTTGCAGGGGTTGTAAAAACAATAAAAACTACCCCCGAAACAGCTTTTTGGCGATTTTCTTCGAAAATATAATTTTTAGCGAAAAAACATTCAAACAAAATCGATATATAATAAAAAAATCTACAAATTTGTCTATCATCACTTTCCTTGTAAATGCAATAGAAAAAGAGATATTTGCATCTAAAAATTGCAATTGAGCCTGCTGCTACTGGTAAAGTACCCTAATTTTTAAAAATTCATAAAAAATTAACTAATTAACATTTTTTAATGTTTTTTTTTTTAATCTTTTCTATTTTTTATGATTGACGATTTATTTGTAAAATTAGTTACGACATCGATAGTATAACTGAAATATTTCGTTATACGTTTTGCCATGTGGCCAATTAATTTGATGCAACAAGAAACCACCGTCTACTACAAATACAAACGTAGATAATTAAGAGTCTGATTGTAGACTTGTCTTAAAAACAGAAAATAATTCTGATTTCTTGTTTTTGCGCATAAATCCTTCTTGATCGAATAAAGACAAAGGGAATGGTGACAGTTCATGACTGAACGCTTTCTTCGTTAAATCTTCGTCATCTTTAGTTAAGACACAAATTCTTTGAAATAACATCATGGGATTGAGGTTTGCATATTTAACATCTGCATGAATTCCAGCCTTCGCAGTTGATAAAGGTTTAACTTCGTACTTAAAGCACATGCTAACATTTTGTGCGTTTTTACCGATCATTGCACCCATACTCAGAGTACCTAATTTTAATGCTTCATGACAGTTAATATTTTCACCACCAACAATACCTGTTGATAAAGATGTTAGAGATTCACGATGTTCAAATGGTTTGTGTGCTAATATCCAATTATACATCAGCATTAAATCATTATTGTCCTTCTTTAGCCTACTATTAGTTAAGTCAATGTGCTGCTCGCTAGTACTGAAGCTAAGATCACAGTAACTCTCTAAACCATCCATGACAGCAAAAGAAACTGGCATACAAGTTAAATACCGCGCTACAACACTTGGAGTAACGCCTCTCCCGTGTTTTAGATCAGTACCGAAGAAACGATTGAGCGTTTGCTCAATCGTCATATCGCTCCATATTCCGGACCAAGCTTTAAACGATCGACGAATAGTAAATCCTCCTTCTTCTGTAAATCTGACATATTCTTGATCATCCATAGTGACTTCCAATTTTACCATTGCTTGAAAGTAAATTTGGGCTGATTTTGCATATAAATAATGACCCGACGCATGAAAGTAAGGAATCATTTTCTCAATACTCTGCAAGTGGAGTTCCCAGTTCCCGAGGCGCTCGGCTTCAATAAATTGAAGCGCAATAGTTACCATGTCAAAATATTGAATAAATAATTGTGCAGTGGGGCCATTGGATTTTAATGAATCCAGTGCATTTAACAAATTCACTCGCAATTCATTAAGGACAGAATCATCAAAATCATTATAACGTGGAGGATTTGTTTCCCAGGATTCCAAGTGATCACGTAAAAATGAATGAATTTTTTGTTTATCGCTTAAATTCATATCATCACTTACATATTCAGTAAAATACATGCCAATTGCTGTGTATGTTAAAATGTGAGCACGCAGTGATCGTGAGAACGCTTTGCCACTCATCATATTTTTAACTGGTTCTTCAGCATAGACAGTTGACCAAATATCTTCCAATCCACTTCCGTTCATAATATAACCAATAGCACCAAGAAAAGACATCAATGTGTGAAATCCGCCTAACCGTACTACGACATTATTCATATTATCGTTACCGGCAACTATTTCACATGCTATAATAAATAGCGGCTGATCAAATGTAACTATGCATGTCTTCTGCGGTCTGTGTTTACAATCTTCCATCGCACGGATTATTGCAGTGTTAATCGTTGTGTGTTTTGAAGGAGGCTCGTTTATAAATGGTAAACAAATGATTCGCGCAACAGAATCGTGAGGGAAATCTTGATATATTGTTTCCATAAACCCTCTCCAACTTGGTATTTTATTTTGGTATTTAGATTTTCCCCACAAGTACAATGCATAATGAGGTGGAAGTTGATCGGATTTTTCGCGTATTAAAGTATCAATACCTTCAAATTCAATATTTTGTAATCCAGTAGCTTGTGAACTCCGAAATGGAATTGTATCAACAGAACTGCATTGGGCTAATTGTTCAGCAGAAAGCATTTTACGGCACTTTTTCGAAGAGCCTTCATAGGTCACATTGCCCTCCGGAGTATATGCAATTATTCCTCCAAGACAGTGAAAAGTTCTTTTGCCATCCAAAGTTTTCGCATTATGATCTGTGTTATCAAAAATGTACTGCCCAAAAACATCGTCAATGACCATTTTCGGAGGATCCATCATTGTTGACGCTTCAAACAATTGAATATTGTAGTATGAAGCACATACTCCAAGTTTTGATAGTAGATCAATAATTAATCTTGAGCCGCTCTTCTTATGTATGTAAGTGACGATAGCTAGCTGAAGATGCGAATTAAAAGATTTAGGCCGGATACTTGAAATAATTGCGTGAGCTATATTATCGCGTTTCACAAAATCTGAAGAATCACTGTCTTTTTTTTTGTGTAATAGAAGATCACTCAGAAAATAATTTAATAAATTCGGTATGTCTTCTACAACACTGTTAAGAAAATCCGCTGATGCACGATAAGAATATGTATCATAACTAGGGCCAGGAATTTGGTTTTGTTGAAAGACAAAGAAAAAAGATAGGCGGGGCCAAGTTCTCTGATTGGTTGAAAAAAAATGAATTTGTTTTGTTTCTCGCAAGCACCTGAAGCCAGTAGCATAGTAAAAAAAAAATCGGATTGCTAAACCAAAATAAAAATATATTTAAAAAAATGCTGATGATGACGCTAAATTCAGCAAACTCTCAACGATGTTGTAATAGCATGTTTTCAGGATAGTGGAAAAAAAAAATATTTTGAAATTGCACACGCACCCAAGGCCTCGCAGACAAACACGTTGGTAATTTTCTGAGATATTGTACTAAGGGTCTTGCTGGATAGCACGCAGAAAATTTTGCTGCATATCGCGCTTATGATCTTGCTGGTCTTCTCGCTACATATCTTGCTTGATATCGCGCTGACAGTCCCACTGGATATCTTGCTTGTTATCGCGCTGACGGCCTCGCTGGAAATCGCGCTGAAGGTCTCGCTGGATATCTCGCTTGATATCGCGCTAACGGTCTCACTGGATATCGCGCTGACAACCTGGCTAGATATCGTGCTGAGTGTCTCGCTGGATATCGTGCTGGCGGTCTTGATGGGTATCTCACTGGATATCACGCTGACGGTTTCACTGGATATCTTGCTGGATATCACGCAGGATATCACGCTGGCGGTCTTGATGGATATCTTGCTTGATATCGCGCTGATGGTCCCACTGGATATCTTGGTTGCTATTGCGCTGACGGCCTCGCTGGATATCTCGCTTGATATCGCGCTAATGGTCCGACTGGATATCGCGCTGACGGTCCCACTGGATATCTTGCTTGTTATCGCGCTGACGGCCTTGCTGGAAGTCGCGCTGACGGTCTCGCTGGATATCTCGCTGACGGTCTCGCTGGATATCTTGCTTTATATCGCACTGACGGTCTCACTAGATATCGTGCTGAATTATTTTCTATGTAGCACAATCTATAGCACGATATCCAGCGAGACACTCAGCACGATATCCAGCCAGATTGTCAGCGCAATATCCCGTGAGACCGTCAGCACGATATCCGGTGGGACTGTTAGCGCGATATCAAGCGAGATATTCAGCGAGACCTTCAGCGCGACTTCCAGCGAGGCCGTCAGCGCGATAACAAGCAAGATATCCAGTGGGACCGTCAGCGCAATATCAAGCAAGATATGTAGCGAGAAGACCAGCTAGATCATAAGCGTGATATTCAGCAAAATTTTCTGCGTGCTATCCAGCAAGACCCTTAGTACAATATCTCAGAAAATTACCAACGTGTTTGTCTGCGAGGCCATGGGTGCGTGTGCAATTTCAAAATATTTTTTTTTCCACTATCCTGAAAACATGCTATTACAACATCGTCGAGAGTTTGCTGAATTTAGCGTCATCATCAGCATTTTTTTAAATATATTTTTATTTTGGTTTAGCAATCCGATTTTTTTTTTACTATGCTACTGGCTTCAGGTGCTTGCGAGAAACAAAACAAATTCATTTTTCTTCAACCAATCAGAGAACTTGGCCCCGCCTTTCTTTTTTCTTTGTCTTTTAACAAAACCAAAGTTCTGGCCCTAATCATAACTTTTAGCTAATATTTCACGTCGAAGAATTTCAGAAGCAGCTTGCAAAATTGTCTTTTTCTCAGTTTCATCCAAACATTCATTATTATCGAACCAATCATCAGAAAGTGCTCCAGCTGATTTATGTTTATAATAAATAATAGTATCTGTACCTGGAGATTGTTTTATACGAATGTCATTCTGGTACCGGGATTGTAATTTTCTATACAACCTTGTATTTGTAATTAGATTATTTCCCATTATTTTTTGCAGAGTAGATAAATGAAATTTCGTTTTACTGCTTTCTTCAATGTACTTATAAACACGATCTAAAGTCTCTTGTATATCTGGATCAACTTCACGAATTTTTGGTTCCTTATTTGGATCAACAAAAAATCTGTATAAACATTTTTCATGATAACGAGCCTTAACTGCAACTAGAGAATTGATTCCTTGCAATCTTTGATGAACTTGTGTGAAAATATCACCATTGTATAAGTTGGCAGTTGTTAATAATCGATTCAATTGATAAAATTGAAAGTATTCTCAATTTGGTCTTCATGTATTTGTCCACGACTTGATGTTGAAGGTTCATCTAACGTTGGTGATTTATCCCTCCGCTTGAACTTCGTGTTATTAGACGATGCTTGATATCGTACCCGACATACTGCAACGTTAATTTTTTTTGTTATTTACAGCTTTCATATGTTAAAAATTTTTGTACAGAAAAAAATGCTAAAATAATATTAATAATTTTGAGGAGAATTTATTCAATTAATTTATTACCAGCTTTTGTATGACAACAAAATGATTACTAAACATGTTTTCTGTTACATAAATAATTAATAATTATTTTATTAATTTGTAATATTTTAAAAACTTATAATTAAAAGTTTATTTTTCATTTCATGGAAGCTTGATGAAAATTAAGTTAGCCGACAATTAAAAATTTTTAGAATTTTTTTTTATTGAAAAAATTATTAAAAAAAATAAAAAAAAAATGTCACTTGTAAAAAACTTCAAAAACTATAAGTAAAATTTTTTAAAAATATTTTTTCGTATTAATTTAATAATTAAAAAAACACCAAATAATTAAAAACGTCGGCGAACTTTAATATCATCAAGCTTGACTTTGGAGTTAGCTGATATTTATGAATTGATTAAAAAATATAAGAAATTTATTAATATAAATTGGTAAATTTAAGAATGGTTCAAATATTATTGTTTTTATTTTAATTTTAAATTAATTGTATAAAAACAAGCTCAAAATTAATAAAATTTCACAGTATATTTTTAAGCACACCTTGATTCTAACCTCACATCAATTAAAATGAACGGTACTTACCAGAATGAAATTGAAATGAATCCGCATTTTCCCAAAGTTTATATTTATTGTCGTCCTTTAATTTGCTTTTGTTAATTAAAGTTTGGAGTCCTTTTTTTTTAACTTCAATAACTTCATCTTTCTCGTTTTCAAGCGTCTGATCACAAAGAGTACACAATTCCACAGTTTCCATTTTATGTTTCAATAACACATACTTCAAAAATCAAATAAATAACTTACAAGTACCTATACGAAATATATAATTACTTGACTGGTTATAGTCAACAATAGAGTGTAAAAATATACACAAATGTACAATGCCCAAAACAGTCCGATCAACGTGCAGCATGTCCGCGCATCAGCTGGATACAACTGCTGTAGGAGTAACAGAGACAGTTAATGCATAGTAGGAGTGACAGAGATGAATTATTCCGATTCCCAAAGTCGTGGGCTCAGGAGCAATTAATTTTCAAATAGATATTTCATACTGGTAAAATCTCAGGTAAAAGTGGATGGCAAATGGAAATAAATGAATGAACATAAAAAATAAATGTTCAAAAGAGATTTTTGGGTAAAAAAAAAATTTTTTTTCTTAATTTTAATGATAAAAAATTTTAATTAAAAAATTCAATTGTTTATAACTTTTTAAAAAAAAAATTAAAAAAATTTTTTTTTCTCTAGAAATGTCAATCATAAAAAATAGAAAAGATTAAAAAAAAAAAACATTAAAAAATATTAATTAGTTAATTTTTTATGAATTTTTAAAAATTAGGGTACTTTACCAGTAGCAGGAGGCTCAATTGCAATTTTTAGATGCAAATATCTCTTTTTTTATTGCATTTACGAGGAAAGTGTTAATAAACAAATTTGTAGATTTTTTTATTATCTATCGATTTTGTTTGAACGTTTTTTCGCTAAAAATTATATTTTCGAAGAAAATCGCCAAAAAGCTGTTTCGGGGGTAGTTTTTATTGTTTTTACAACCCCTGCAAGCTATATTTCGATTTTTTGACTCTGTATCCTTATTTTACATAAAAAAACTGAAAATATGACCGAGAATTTAAACTTCGGAAAAAATGTTGATTTAAAATTTTTCTTTACTGGACTAAGAATACAATGTAGCCTCAAGATCAAAAACAGCTGTCATGATCTTGATTGATTTACGACAAGCTTCAGTGTCGAGATTTTTTTCTTCTCAAGCAGCATTTTTTCTCCGGATATGGAGATCATATTCTGCTTGTTTCTCAGCTTTTTCTTCATCTGAAATGTTGTCGAAACGCGTACACCAGCACATATCTTTTCTCGGTTGATGAAAACCGATATTTAATTGCTCCAGCTCACCAAAATATCGAGTATCACTGACTTGCCGAAAATTGTTTTCAATTGCATAAGCAACATACAATTCATAAATTGCCTGTTTTGTTTTGATTCTTTCCAAGTAAACTTTGGAGCTGTCTCGTCGGCACCAATGCGTAGGAACTTTTGGCAACAGAGATAAATGCTGTCGAATCCGATTAACATCTTCCCCAGACAGTTTATTCACTGGTTCATGATGCCCACGCCGATCAGGCAACAATGATCCAGAAGTACTTCTTTTTTCTTTATCCATCATAATTCTGACTTTTTTGTCAGAAATATCCACAGTCTTTACAAAAAATTGTTGACAGACTTGGACGTAAGCATTATTTACTTTAAACCGGTAGGTTAATTTGTTCCTAAAAAAAAGTAAACATTAATTTTTAAAACAAATCTGATTTATAATTTTAGGCTCTTTTGAACTTAAAAAACTTTAAAACTTGATTTAGATTTTTTTATAATTATTGAATTTATTAAGACTTTTAAAAATTGAATTAGATTTATTTAGGTTAAACCCTATTCAATAATCTTAATTCAATCTTTTAAAGTCGTAAAAAGTTCAATAATTATAAAAAAATCTACACTAAGTTGTTGAAGTTTTTTAAGTTCAAAAGAGTTTAAATTTTGGACTCAGTTACTGATAAGAATTTAAATTGATTCGAAAAGAAAATTCGTGGACCAGAGTATTTTTCTTCATTCACGATTTTTTTTCTTTTAATTTAAATTATTTTCTTGTTTTAAAAATTTTTTTCTCGAGTCAACTTAACTTTTTTATCAGAATAAATATGTAATTAGTCGTAAAAATAATTGTAATTAATCAAAACATGATAAAAATAATTTCTTCCATTATAAATGTCAAAAGAAAATTTTTTTTATAATTTCCAAAACTTATTAAAAATAATTTATCTGTCAGCTTCAGGCACACTAAATTCGCAATTCATACGACACTGACAGGAAGATCGCATTCTTTTTGCCGGTTGTATCTCGCCTCTTACTTTGGTGTACTCCAGTCCAAGGTTGCGGTTACACTTACGTTTATTCTTCACCCATTGATTGGGCTTAGATCTTTTGTTTCGAGTACGACGTTGAGGCTCAATGTCTCCGTCGTCAGTGTTTGATGAATGATTGTCCGGCTGCTCGGAGTGAGGTACTTCAGAATCACCATCTTCTATTTCGTCGAGATTTTGTTGATCATGAACTTCAGATAGGAGAACTAACCTCCTCTATCTCTAGGTCTTCTGCTTCACTCTCTGAGAGTATGCGTCCGAATTGATTCTTCCTCGATCTAGATGTTGAAGGAAGCGATATATCTTCTATGTCTGATTCCTCTTCATCGGTCTCAGGAATTATGTGGTCGAATAGATTCTCTCGCTGCTCAGGATGAGATGTAAATGAAGTTGGTTATTCCTGCTCACCAAGTCCACGTAAACTTAACTGTGATGCTTGACGACTTAACTCCTCACAACCCTCAAATATGTCTGGACTTTCCTGTTCATTGTCATCATCACTTATCTAAGCAGACTTCTCCACCGTTACAAATTTTTAGAACAATTTTAAATGACAGCAAAACTCAAGTATAAATTCAAATTTTCCAACACAATACCATAACGGAGCACTCTGTGCTGTAGGAGGCGACAGGGGTACTTAGCCAGACCTGGCCGATCAGATGGTAGCTGAGGCGCGAGATGGAAAACTATTTGAAAAGGTACGAGGTCAATTGATCCGACGACAATTGATTGGTGACTAGGTCGCTGATTTATCGATGCGACAAATTTAACTACAAATTAATATTTGTTATTGCCTTAAGATGGACGGTGGTGTTTACTCATGTCAGGTGTTAATATGTGATTGAATAGTAGTTACGGACAAGGTCTCGTAGAGCTTAACTGGTAGAGCCGTTGGCGCGTCACCGAACGATCCGGGTTCGATTCCCGGTCCGGGCTGTCTGAATTATATTTTTTCAGTCACTAAACAATTCCTACTGAGTAAAAATAGGTCCCCCCTTCCCTTTATCCTTTATTCGCCCAGTTCCCGAATTTGTCACTGACATTATGCCGCTGATATAGCATCGCGGATCAATTGTCGTCGGATCAACGGTCGCGTAGCCATTTGAAAATAGAGAACTCTCGGTTGTAGAGGGCAGTACAGATAAAGCGCGGAATTGAAAAATACTTAAATACTAGCTCTCCACCATACGCTCCGCGTGGCGTCAAATATAGGAACGAATACTAAACTTAATCTCTAGCTTATAATACTTAATTAATAATTAATAATAATTAATTAATAATTAATGATAATTAATTAATAATTAATAATAATTAATTAATAATTATTAATAATTAATAATAATTAATCAATAATTAATAATAATTAATTAATAATTATTAATAATTAATAATAATTAATTAATAATTAATAATAATTAATTAATAATTAATAATAATTAATTATTTAGGAATTTCCTAGTGTTACGTTCCCAAAAATAGGGTAATTAATTCTTTGAGATATAAAATAATTTAATTCCAGGTTTTGACACTTTGGGTAGTCAATCGACCCCCGGTGTGTCGTCACAGATGAGCTTACTTGTTTTATTTTTTATTATCTTGAACTTACCATTATGGGCCCCATAGGTCAGCCCAAATAACCCCCTGGTTTTCTAACAACTTAGCTTTGTAGGGCGGGTAGATGTCGTAGCCCGTCTTTCGGAAGTACTCCTCTGAATAATACCCGTATCGGGGGTCCTTGATCCGGATAACGCCTCCGGGAGGGTGAACCTCGGGAACCTCAACTGGGACCAACTTCCAGGCCCTGGTTATGTCCGTCCAATAAGCCGGGCGGTTGTTGCCGGCGAAGATTGACTGACCCTGTGAACCCTGGTGCGGCGGTGATTTTGGTGAGTCTTCCTCGGCGGTTCGTACTACTCTCACTCGCGGTTCGACTAATATTTCGTCATTAATTACGTGTACTACTGGTTTCGTAGCCCGCACTACTTCAACTCGCGGCTCGTCGATTATCGGTAACGTCAAATGAAACGGCTGCGTCAGGAGACGGCGACGCTTTTGTATCGATTTACCCGATCGACGTGATCGTTTTCCTCGAGGCATGAAGCGAAGGAAGTTGGCGTTGCTGAAGAGATCAGAACCTGGTGGAACGCCAATAAAGCGTTCATCCAGCAGGAGGGTTAGACTGGAGAAGACGCTGACTAGCGCTTCTGCCGAAGGACTTCTTTATATGGGGTAGAACAGCCGCGAGGCGCTCTGCCCCATAATAAGTGTAATAATGGGCTATGTGTTCGGTATAGTTGGTTTATTTGATAATAGGATCTGGAGAGGTTCAAGCCTGAGAATAGAGCTCCCTGCACTACAGAGTCTCGAGATCTACTGCCTGAATCTGCTCCAGAACAATGTTTATAAATCTTATTGTCAGCCATGTTGGTAGCTCAGGTTACTCCTGAGAGAGTCGACGAGGCCCGGGTCCCATGCTGACGCAAGATGTTTTGGTTATCCGCGGCCACGGCAACTCTTTGCTGACGCCTTATCACAAGAGATTTCCCTTACTTCGCTGTTGGTATAACCACCAGCGAAGCAATAGATATCGCTTATTATGCGTTCTGAGAATCTGATCAGTCGAAATAAGAACGTTTAAATAAAAATGAATAAATCTTCCAAAACAAAAAAAAAATTATTAGTTAAATTTAGGCAGAAATTCGTGGAACGTAACACCTCCCAACCTTGGAAACTTGCAGTGCTTTTAACAATAAGCGGTGCTAGTCTTAGTGACTCGATACAAACCAAAAGTTTAATAAATTTCGCCTTATCTTAGACTAAACCTGAGGCACCCACGATGGCTCATTTCCTTACGGTCTAAATGCTACAAGCCATTATGGACTTGTTAGCTTACAATATTCATAAATGATATATAAAATTACAATATTTGTATTTAGATCACGACTTTGTCGTGGTAAAGTAGACAAAATTTAATAAAAAAAAATTAAATCCAGTTATGACGATAGAATCGCCTTCGGATTTGTATTAATTATAAATATTAATAATGTTTGGAGCAATCAGTTATTGATTATCCATTCTAAGATACAGATTAAAATAATCGGCATTAAGTCGGAAATGATCGGCTTCCGTCGTTAAATGCTTAAAATAACGTAACCGGCTCAAGTCGCTGAATATAATACTTGATATCTAAAAAAAAATCTATATAAAAATAAAAATAATAAGATTGATTATTATATTGAGCGACTATTGAGGCTGATTTCTCTGAGGTTTAGATATAAAATATAAATTAAAATATAATCGACATTCGTCGATGATTTTAGTGCGTAAAATTAAACAAGTGTCTTTTGCACTAAGTTAGTTATACCGTAGTGAAAAATATACGGTAATTGTTCAATAAGTATAGTTTAAATTCTAACTTAACTAATGACAATAATTGATATAAGAGACGCGAATTAGGTCTGGCTATTTCACGACGTCGCGCACATCACTGTTTCGTAAACGAGTTAAAGTTTCTCTGTTAAAGCACTCGTGTAATTTGATGCGCGAATCTTCCTGCTGTTGATCTTCAAGTTTTCTCGATAGCTTCCGGAAGGACATCTCTTCGGGTGGTGCTGACTTCTTGTAGTCTTGCTGTTCGTCGATGATACATATGCTTGACCTTGGCCGAAGTATCGGAGCCATAGGTCGTTGTTCTTCTTCGTCGAAAATCCGTCTTTGGTGATGTGACGATGAAGTAGGAGGTTGGTTAGCGTGTCGTAAACCGCTGTCACTAATAGTACGCTAAACCCATAAATAGTATAAAGGGCGTAGGCGTGGAATAAAGTATCAAGGACGAACTTCAGTCATCTTATGATCAGCAAGATTGAGAAAACGCCAGCGGTAAATGAGCCAAAGTCTATTAATGCTCGCCAGATCTTCCAGCCGGTGCTAGTTGCTAATTTTTCAAGGGTTTCTTCGTCGAATAAGCCCATAACGTCGAGACTTCCGGGAGGAATGACACGTCCTGCTGCCCCCATCGCTATGGAATTTAAAAGAGCGGGTCTTTCTGCTGGGAACATGATACGGCTTCTCAGCTTTTTTAGATCTTTTTGAGAATAAATTCCCGATATTCTAAATGCTCCGGGTTTTCGTTTTTCCAAGTCGGGCTCATAAGAGGTTGTAGTTGTTGGGGCTCAGGCGCTCTGATTGCTCGTGGAGTTATGTGAAACCAGACACTGTCGATTAAGTAACCTATTGGCAAAATAGTATTACATTCTATCAAGGTACCGTGTTGGATTAGTATCCTTGATTTAGGTGTCAAGAAATAACTTTTATTATTATATGTTACGGGCAGCTCCTGATAACATAGTTCTGTTTCGCGGACCTTTACAGGTGCTGAGATACACTTTGTGATATGTACTAATTCTCCGGCGACGGTGGTGTAATACCCGGGTCCTTTCATCAAGGCATACCCAAATGCGTCAGGTGTTAGTGACGACAAGGCCAGCGCGTTAAGAAGCACAGATCGTTCTAGTTCACAACGTCGAACTAGAACGTCGTGATAAAGATTTTGAAGTTGTTGACGTATGAATTTCTCGACATATATAAACTTACTGTTTATATATACGAAAATATCCATGTCCTCGGTTTTTATAGTTTCCACTGAGAGGGTATGACCTTGATTTTTGACAACAATAATGAATAATTTCGGGTGTTCGGTCTTGATTACCGTATGCCCACATACTTCCATAAAACCTCGTTGTGCGAGGGCAAAAGTAATGTCCTCGGTAGTAAGTGAGTATACTTCTGGTGATCCATCTTGACCGATCATTTTCGTGGCAGGACCGTGGTACAATTGCGCGTATTTGATTAAGCACGAGTTTTTCGGAACTTCTCTCCAGAACGCGGACATACCATCGCTGGTAATACAAGTTAGTTTTTCCGCGTTACACCTCGTTCCCGACCGCAATAAAATCTCATTTGTCTTTGTATTAAGCGCGGTTCGTATTCACTTAACGTAATTTCGTATGTAGCGTCCACTACGACTCCCGACCACGTACCGTATTCGTCGGAAAAGGTTCCTTTTTCACAATCTCCCCCCATGCTTTGACTACCCGCTAGAATTGCCACTCGATGACTTGTACTGTTCATTTTTAGTTCGTAGAATGGAACTCGATCAAATAGCCAGACCGACCCGGTCTCATGCATTTTTTTACATTTGTTATAATCTAAACTTAAATAATATTCTCTACGTCCGTAGAGAACTGAGGATGTATGGGAATGCATTCCACAATGTTGGATATTCCGATTGATCAAAATTTTGCACTCCATAACGTGCACTTCAATTATTTCCGCGGGCTGCAAAAGATAAATATTAACCGTCTCCGTTTGAGGCGGGGTATTAGCTATTCCCTATACCGATTAGCTTGTGAGGGCCAGTATGCTGCGGGTCACCCTTGCCCTTTCTTGGCTCTAATAGTAGGAAAACTCTTGTTCCTGGTCTAAGCCTTTGCGGATTTATTTTTTTGTCATAATAAAATTTTGATCTTTCTTTAGCTCTACGTAGGTTCGCGTTGGCAGCTATTTCTGTTTGTCGAATGCGATTAAATAATTGCTCGAGATATTCTGTATAGGTTGGATTAGTTTCCTCGACTGCTTGAAATTGAGAAGGGAGACGAGGTAACTTCCCGAAAACCAGTTGGTACGGAGTAAAACCTGTGCCCTCATGTTCGCTGACATTATACGAAAATGAGGCTAAGTCCAGGTACTCGTCCCAGTCTTCCTCCTCGGTTATGCATTGTTTTATATATTCCTGTAAGACATGGTGCGATCTTTCGACCGACCCATTACTTTGCGGACTATAAGCAGTCGTTTGATATTGTTTTATTTTATACTTTCTAGCAATATTTTTAAGTAGGCTTGAAAGGAAATTTGTTCCTTGATCAGTAAGTATGGCTTTAGGTGGACCGAAGTAGCAAAACCATCTGTTTACCAGAGCTCTCGCCACATCGACCGCCGTTGCTTGTTCTAATGCGATTACCATAGAGAATTTAGTTAGTAAATCCTGAATAGTTAAAATATATTTCATGCCTGATGCAGACGTGTGCGTAGGGTACATAATATCGAGACCAATTTTGTTGAATCCCGCATCCGGGGTGTCTGTGAGCACCATTGGTTGTTTATTTTTGACTCGAACTAGCTTTTTCAGCTGACAATCCAGGCATTTTTGAATATATTCGATAACGTCTTTTTTAATATTAGGCCAGAAAAAATTTTGCCTGATTCTTTTGTAGGTTTTGGTCAAACCTTTATGACCATCTACAGTGGAACCATGGTATTCTTTTAAAATCTGAGGTCTTTCCTCTTCGTCTGGAATACGAACTAAATTAAGGCAAATAGTTATTTTTACTTCTGTGTCAGCAAAAAGTTCAATTAACCTGCGCTGGATTGTCAACCAATTAACGTCGTCGATCTTGTCTGTTTTTGCAATACTAAATGATTCTAATCCTAATTGCATTACGTTTGCATAAACATTTTCCAAAGTTTCACAGATGTCATCCACGGATAGGAGATCCAACGCCCTGTACTTGGGCACGGCCAAGATACAGTGCCTTTTTTTTCTTTTATACGGAATTATTGTAGATCTCAGATAATTAACGCGTGTCCTCTGGAATTCGCAACATCCCGGAAAGTTCGCGGCTACCTTCATCGTAGGGATCACCTTGAATATTGACGAAAATTAAGACATTATCCGCCTGCATCGATAGCCGGTCTCGGGTCTCATGGACATTAGGCGCGATTTCACGAACTTGCGGCGTAGTTGCCGCTCGATTGTTACGCGGAGGGCGTTCAGGATTTTCTTGATCCGCACCAGTCTCTCCCTCCTCAGACTGACGATCGTCCTCGGAGTCCTCTGCGTCCGTTTGCAGTTCGGATTCATTGACTATGTCTTCGTTGCCGCTACTTTCGTCGATGTCCATATCAATCTCGCGATTACTGTTTCTATTCTCGCGGTTATTCCGCTCAGTTTCCGTCAGAGGGTCGTCAGACGCTCCCCCGTAGGTAGAATCACCAGAGGATAACAAAGGCATGTTACGCGGACGCGCCCTGGGATTCGTACGTTCTCGAGGTTAATCCTCGATCGGGCGTATCGACTGTTCGTCTTCGTCAGAGAGAATTCGCGGTTGAGGCGCTGTCGATGGCCCAGGTTGGCTCGGGTCCTGAATTGCTCGTGCAGCAGGACCTGGAGCTGGTATAGCCCACTGTCGAGGTTTGAATGTAAATCGAACTGGCGGAGTTATCTTTTCGCGATTTTCAGGTTCCGAATTACTGCTTTGCTCCGGCGTATCATTAAGCGCTCGAGCTTTCCTCCGAAGATTGTAGGGCCTCCGAACACGTTTTCTATTTTTCGTAGGGTCTTCCTCGCTCGTTTCTTCCGGCGTAGATATAGTTACGTCCGGATTTCCTTTGCGAATCGGTGCTACCTGTACGGGTTCTTCGGGCTCATCAACTGGATTACGCGATAGTGAGTCGTCATTAGAATATATTCGGCCCGGCTTATATACGACCTTGTAACTATAGTCCTCCATGCTCAACCGCCACCTAACTATACGTGAATTCGGTGAATTTACAGAATTTACCCACGTCAACGGTCGATGATCGGTTACCAATGTGAATTGACTTCCGTAGATATACGGTCGAAATTTGTTCACGGCGTATACTATAGCGAGCATTTCTTTTTCAATTGTGGAGTAATTACGTTCAGCCGAATTTAATAAACGCGAGGTGTAACACACGGGTTTATCTTTATTAATTTCGCCCTGACTTAGACAAGCACCGATGCCATAATCGCAGGCGTCCGTGGTTATTATAAATTCGCGCGAAAAGTCTGGGAATTGCAAAATTGGAGAATTTGTTAATTTACCCTTAAGAGTTTCAAATGCCTCCTTCTGACTCTCACTCCATACGAACGTAGCGTCCTTTTGTAATAAGGAGGTTAGCGGTTTACTAATTTTCGCGTAATTTTCGATAAACCTCCTGTAATACCCCGTGAGACCCAGAAATTCCCGAACTTTCTTTACCGAATTTGGTATCGGAAATTTTTCGACGGCGTCCGTTTTCTTCGGGTCCAGTTGAACCCCGTTAGCAGATATAATATATCCTAAATAATTAATTTCCTTACGGAATAAGTGACATTTATCTGGCTGCAGTTGCAAACCGGCCTTACGTAAACGCTCGAATAATTCCTTAATTTTCGCAATATGTTCCGCGAAAGTTTTTGAGTATGTTACAATATCGTCGATATAGACGAACACGCCCCTGCCTATCATACCAGCCAAGACCTTGTTCATTAATATTTGAAATGTCGGAGGGGCATTTTTCAGCCCAAACGGCATTCTTACAAATTCATAATGCTGGTCTGGGGTCGAAAAGGCAGTTTTGTGTATATCATCAGGGTGGATTTCAATCTGGTGAAATCCACTAGCTAAATCAAAAGTGGAGAACCAAGCGGCATCTCCAGTTTGATCAATAATTTCAATAATATTTGGTGTCGGATAGACAACAGTAAATGTTTTATCATTTAAATCTCTAAAGTCTATAACCATGCGGCACCTTTTATTGCCTAAAGAGTCTTCTTTCTTTTTGACAATCCAAATAGGCGAACAATAGCCGGATTCTGAAGGTCTAATAATACCTTTTTCCTCTAATTCCCTGACCTGCCGCGAGATTTCCTCTTTATGTATGGGAGGAAAGCGATATTGCTTTTTAAAAACCGGTTGGTCGTCAGTAGTGATGATTCTATGCAAAATCTCGCTCGTTGAACCGAGATGTTCTCCCGGGAGATAAAATAGATCTTGATTGTTAGTAATCAAGTTTTTAATTTCTACGCGCTGCAGATCCGATAACTCTTCTGTCAGGTGAACAGAGCTAAACACGCTCTGTGCCCGTTCCGGAGTTTTCATATCCTCGGATATTATGAACACGTTAAATTCCACTTTTTCTAGAGAATTCCGGGTTTTAGAACAATCGTGAACATTATCATTGATAATTTTAATCGATGATAATTTTTTCGAGCAATCGCTTTCGTCCCACCAAAAGGGAGATCGCAAATTCACTACTGGTTTCGGGATTAGGACCTCATGGTCCAAACTATTGTAAGCCCTTAGAAAGGTACCGTTGTCGTTAGCTTCGAAAGTGCCGCCTAACTCCACTCCAGGAGTGCAATAAATACGCGGTACGTAACCATGACTTTGGGAATCGGCAGAAGTTTTAATTTTAATTGCTGAAACTGAATCAGGGCTTAATTTGTCCATTTCGGTTTCAAAAAACGGTACTTCTATATCAAAAAACGTAAATATTTTGCGATCGAAGAAAAGCCTAGCGCCGTATTCGCTAAAGAATCTAGCACCCAATAAAGCAGGGTGTAATGTAGGGAAATTATCCTCAACAACACTAAATTCAATATCGTAGCCGAATAGTTCCACGTAGGTTTTGCCTACGGTGAACACTGGATGTTTGTTGATACCCAGCAGCGCTAATTTAAAATCTCGATCGATATATTGCGGTTTACAAAGAGCACCAATTTTTATTAAATTTACTTCTGATCCCGTGTCAAGCATAACGGTTACCGAATCTTTTACGTCGTTACCTTTAGCTAAAATCGCGGGCACATTAGTTTTATGAAGATTTATCATCACTGTTGTGATGTTGACGGGGTCGCTGGATTTTTCGACGGGTTTTTGGAGTTTTTCGGACTCCCGGAGGTCCCGTCGTTGTTTTTCTCCAGGAGTATCGGGTTTCCCAACTCACCCATACGAGATTGAAGTAATGAAGAGAAATTAAAACATCTCGCGAGAGGATGATTAGTCTTGCCACAACAAGGGCAAGGCTCATACGAGTTGGACCTTTGATTACCCCCCGAAGATCCGCCTTTAACTTTATTTTCGCTATTGTCGGATTTTTTTGAATTAATACCGGCGTTAGATTTTTGCGCGTTATTGTCGTTGCCGTTTTTCACGTTTGACCCCGATCCCGATTTACCCTTACCGTTTCCTGAATTTTTTTCAGGTTTCGATTTATTATCTTTCGAGTTACCCTTCGAGTTCTGATTCTGAACAACGGCTACCGCGACTGGAGAGGTTAGTGACTAATTTTTGAAACGTTTCATATTCATTTCATATTCCTTAAATGCCTCGATCGCGGATGCATAAGTTTGTTCTAAATCGTCATGCGGTTTTAATCGGCATTGAACTTGCAAAAGCGGTGGAATACCTCGAAGAAAAGCTGCGATAGAATCTTTATAGATCTTAATTGTTTCTGAGTCAGTTAAAACGCCACGCTCCGAAATTTCTGCGTGCAATATGTCGCGATAAATTGCTCGGGCCCGGTTAACATAAGATACCATATCTTCGTTTGATTTCATGATTATGTGTTCCATATCGGCCTTGTACTGGTTTGCGGAGCGGCGACGATCAAAAACGGTCCTCAAAAGGTTTTCGAACTCCTTAATATTAGCATAGTCCATGTTCTCTACCGTAGTGCGCGCTGGACCTTCAAATTTTTGACGCAACAAGGTCAAAAACATGAATTCGGAACTAGTAGGGAGCATGGAGCATGCTCTTTTACAGGATCTGATAAAGTCTGATACTGAAGAGCTAGACCCGTTAAAAGTAGGGACATAAGATAGCGCATCTTTTACTGTGATGTTACTGTTACCGGTTACCGAATCAACTACAACGGTTTTTGTTTCTTTGCCTTTTAATTGGGCGAATTCCTTTTTTAATAACGAAATTGCAGAGGGCTCCTCTGATTTTTTTGTTTCTAATTTTTTTGCTTCAGATTTTTTTGCTTTAATTTCGCGAATCATTTCTGTCAAGTCCGCGGCGGTTTCTTGAAGTTCTTTACTTTGAGCTTTGATTTCCGTTTCCCGCTGATTCAGAGCATCCTCCCTAGCCTGTAAATCGTTACGAGCTTGATCCAACGAACTTTCAAGCTCCTTGAGGGAGTTTTCCCGCTTGTGATAGCGTTCCGCTTCCAAGGTTCTAGCTTGGCGGAAAACATTTAATTCAGCCTCCCTTACCGCGAGTTCATTTTCGGTAACGTTAATTCCACGACCCGTGATTTCTAGCTGCTTCAGGGTAATTTCGCGTTCTTCTAATGAAGTTTCTTTCTTACTAATAATTGATTCGCGGTCTTTCAAATCAGATTCCCAACTAAGAAGTCGCTGCTCGCGATCCGTCCAACCTGTTAATCGAGATTTAAGTAGACTCTCACGTGATAAAATATCGGCTTCGCGTTTGTCATGGTCACGACATTGAGCTTCTAAACGTTCACATAATTCGTGAAGTTCTTCTTCGGTCATCGGATCTGGTGGCGCCATGGTTAATTAACGCGACACAACGATTAATAATAAAAAAAAATAAAATTTCTTAAAAGAAATTGAATAAAATAAAAGAATCGTATACAAAATTCCAATGCTTAATTAAGAAGACGATCTACCATTTTCTTTTTAATAATCCGTTTCTAAATAATAATAGCTAAATTATAAAAATTATAATTGTAACTAATTAATTAAAAGAAAAATCTTAATAACTGATTCATCAATTTAATTTAATTATTTTAATAAAATAAGCGTCAACTAATTACTGATAGCTAATTCAGATGACTGATGTTATACGACATTCATTTAAGTTCAATAATAGTAAAAAAAAATGTTATCAGAGTTGGTAGAAGGCTTTCTTTGCGTCAAGCATTGGTAAAAGTATTGCAAAATTAATAAATTTGTATCATTTTAAAGTGTTGGTTGAGTTTTCCCTCACGCATCTGACATAAGATCGCGTATTGACGAGTGTTGTCCGACGGACGGTGCGACTTCCAGAGTCCGACGGATAAATTAATTCTCTGAGATTAAATTCCCCAAGGAGCGATTATCTTAATAAATTTTCGTAAATAATTATTTTTATAAAATTTATGTATCATGAGGGTTTGCCTCGACGAAATAAATAAAATAGAAAATTTCAAATACGCGGATATTAAATTCACTATAAAATATGTCAAGTTTTAAAATCTCAAAAGAAAGTGACAGTTATTG